ATTTTGTCCAAATTTGCTGTTTAAACATGGCCAATTTAATTTTTGGCTGCAGACAGGGCAGCTTGCCAAAATCAGCCTGCTCGGTGGCTATTTCGCTTTTTCACTTTTAGCCCCGGCAAGCAATTAAGTTTGGCCCGAGAGTCAAGAGGGTTTTAGGGTTTTTGGTCTATTAAAAAGCGCATTGCTCTAAATGCTGTTAAAATACTTTTGAATGCAGCTTGAGTCTGATTAAATCAGTTATGCAGTGGGGGGTAAAATGGAAGGTTAGATGGGGTGGTGGAAAACCTACCCACAACCATGGGCAATCATTAAGGAAATCGCTTTGAAATGATGTGATGACTGCCGACTGCCAACAGTTGACTGAAACAAACGCACACCGAGGGAAAATGGGAAAATGGGAAATGTGGCCAGAGCAAAGGGAAAAGGGCAAAGGGAAAGTAGAACTTTTCAAAGCATCATTAATCATGAAAAGTTCGGTCGGTCTTAATCCTTGGCCATGGCGTAAGCCTTTGTAGAGCTGTCGATATTTGCTTGTGGTTTTTGCGCAAATTGGGGAAAATGAAAATGACAAAAGTTCTCATCTAACCGGCTAGCTATGTGAGTATATATATATAACTTTGTCGCTAGCGGAATTATGGTTTATCATATTTGTTTGGAATGCTTTGCATTTTTCCGCCCTACTCCACCCTTGTGGTAACCAAACACACAACACACGATCCCTCACACACAGAGATGACATTTCCTTTGTCTCATGCTCGTCCAAGTTTCCTGCGTTCCTTTTGTTTTTAACATACTGTGTTTTATTTTTGCTGCTTTTTTTTCTTGTTTTGTTTTCAGCTCACTTGGAAATACTGTAAATATTTTTAATTCTTTGCCAGCGCCAGAGGGGCAGCGGCATTTTCAGCTTTTAAGCTAAAGCTATGAAAATAATTTGGTCCCAGAAATACTTGCGGCCGAGTTGGAGGGACAGGGACCAAAGGGGGCGTGGCCTGTCCGTGGCTAGGTCCTTTGGGCTGCGGATCCTGGAAGCTGAGCCTGTGCCTGAGCCTCAGCCTGGGCAATTGGAATGCCTTTTGTGGCTCGCAGTAACGTCGTCGTGTTGATTAAGCCAGCTTCCAAAGTCAAAGCCAAAAGAAAACGCGTTCTGTTCTGTTCTGGCCAAGGGGGCGCATTGTTGCCATGATTCCCGCCGGTTTCCCCGTATTTCCCGTATTCCCCGTGAAATGGTGACATGGTGGCTGCCACAAAGTGCCGTTGCAAGTGGATAATAACTGACGGCAACTATGCGCATTTGTTTTATGCAGCAAAGTAATGAAACAACAACAGCGGGAGCATCCACGCGCAGTACCAAAAATGACAACGCGCCCGCTGCCTTCGGGCGGTACAACAACAGTAGCAGAACAACAAGAATAACAACAAGAAATAGCGCTGAGAAAAACAAATATCACCTTGAATTTATTATTATTTAATGGAGTATTATTATACGTTTTTTGGCAATACAAATGGTTTATAATTAACTTTTATAAGATATAAAAGTGCAGTGGTAAATAAACATAATAATTAAAAAAGAATTTAATTTTGGAATTAGCAAAGCCAAAAATATTTATGCTTGGAACATCAATAAATATATTTATACCCGTTACTCGTAGAGTAAAAGGGTATATTGTATTCGTGCAAAAGTATGTAACAGGTAGAAGGAAGCGTTTCCGACCCCATAAAGTTATATATTCTTGATCAGGATCACTAGCCGAGTCGATCTAGCCATGTCCGTCTGTCCGTCTGTCCGTCTGTCTGTCTGTCTGTCTGTCTGTCTGTCTGTCTGTCTGTCCGTCTGTCCGTATGAACGCTGAGATCTCGGAAACTATAGAAGCTAGAAGATTGGCATTTTGCATGCAGATTCTAGGAATTCCTACGCAGCGCAAGTTTGTTTCAAAATGGTGCCACGCCCTCTAACGCCCACCATCGCTTATATACGATTTTAAAAATTTTAATATTTTGGAAAAGTAAAAATGCAGTTTTATTGTGTTTATCAATACCTATCGAAATGTAGAAGAAATTTTTCAAATCGGACCATTCGTTAAAAAGTTATGCGTGATCAACGTTTTCTATCTCTATCTCCATCTCCCTCGCACTCCCTTTACCTGAGTAACGGGTATCTGATAGTCGGGGCATCCGACTATAACGTTCCCTCTTGTTTTTCCATCAAATTGAATAGTTTATAAAATCTGCTGTCCTAAGAAACCACTTGCGGTTAAAGGGTATAAATATTATAACAAAACAAAATTTTCCTAAGCTAGGAACATAATGAAAAATTCAAAAGGCAATAACAAAATAGAGTAATTATGCTTTTGTCTCTGTGCATCCAAGCTGCAAGGGCTACAGCAGCAAGAACAAGAAGAAAATAAACCAGCAGCAGAGCAACAAACTATGGTTCCTCCCGAGGAAATTGCGTGCATAGTGGAAAAACTTTTTCGCCGGGTCGAAGTCAAGAGCGGCTTCAACGTCATCAACTGGTTGAGGGTGGTGGGTGGTGTTTTCTTTTCGCCTATTTTGAGTGCCAGCACAAGGCAAAGACAAACACCAGAGCAGGGCAGGGCACACACACACACAGACTTCATTGTGGAGCTGCTTTGTCATGGCCGCTGATTTGGTTTAGGAAATGCATAGCAGCATTCCACATTTTCCACCCGGCGCTCACAATGATCGTTGGTAGGTTGGGCTGGATTGGGTGGTAAAGGAACAGGAACAGGATGCAGTGCCTGGCCGCCATTTTGGCCAGGGAGTGCGCTCGTGCATGCAGCTGTTAGCGCCTTGCCACAGACCGTGGTTCACACCTTTGATACCCGATTCCCAGGCTATCACCTCTTCCCAGGAATATTACCCAAACGTATGTCTTCCGCTTACAGCTGCCTAGGCGCTCTGTTTGTCAAGGTCACTGGTTCGCTTTTCCACTACGCAGTAGTTTTCATTCCTATCTTCGGTTTCCAGCGAAGGCCAGGTGTGCCGTTTCTATCTATCCTTATAATGTCGCAGCTGCAGTTACCTGGAAGCCATTATCGCTCTCCCCTTTGAGAACAGTCACTTAATCTGATTATGGTTCTTTGCATTTTCCTGGCTAAAGAATTGCAATGAATTGGAAAACTAGAAACAAGTAACACACAGCCTTACCAGTTAAAAAGCAAAAAAGTTAATAGAGATTAAACTGAAGTCACTGTAAAATAATCAAAGGCTCGTTCATTTGAATATTGGAAGATGTTGAAAGAGGAAATAAGATTTGCTAGTTCACAGAATTCTCTTGGACTCTTTAATACGTTGTTTAAAAATATAAACTTCAAGTGTTTAGAAATCATATCATTACTTACAATTAAAGCTGGTTAATTTTAATATTGGACATTATATAACAGAACTTGGCTTAAAATATCTCTGCTATATAGATTTTATTATAATATTGAAAAATATTGGGAGGACTTCTTGTACCAAAGATATGTTATTTAAAATCTGCAAGCTCTTTAGACGACTTTGGTTGCTTTGATCCACTGTGCCCCACCGTGCTAACACACAAATTAGTTTTAACCAGCCCCTGTCACGCTGCGGTGAGCCCCATTGTGCTGCCACCATCGTGGCTGCCGATTAAGTGCGTCGCCTTGGAAGAGGGCCCAGTGGTACGAGTAGGTACTATATAACTAGAACCAGAAGCAGGAGTCCCAGCTGCTGGCTGTTGACATTTCAGTGCCTTTCAGCCAAAAGTTTGCACTGCAATCGCAGCGTGGAATCAGCCTTATCGAGGGGGTGGTAGAACGAACGAAGACGGGGAGCGTCTTCTAATCAACATCTAATTATATCGCTCTCCACTCTAATGAAGGTGAGCCAAGGCATGCATGATTGATGATTGATAATTACGGAGGACGGGCACTGCGAACCATCCCAAATCAAACATCAACGGCAACGGCAACAGAAATCAAGCAGCTTGCAAATCTATGCCAAAAACAGAGGAACTAATACTAATGCCCGGCTGGCTGCATGGGTGAACTGAGTGCGCTTGTGTTGGCTCTGTTGTTTCGTGTTTGTGTGAGATGCAACATGTGATACACTGTCCTAGTTCCGCGTCCGTTACTGCGTTGTTATGCAACACAATGGCACACATAAACGCAGCAGGGGGTGGCAGTGGGTGTTGCAAAGGCATTGAGAGATTGAGCGACATCCAAAAAAGCTCCGCCAACTCAAAAGCAAAAAAACACTCAAAAAGCTGGCTCAAGTTTCGGCCAGCAAAAAAACTCAAGCTCATAAGCGTTTAAGCGGTCCCAAACTTAAAGCTATGTCCTGAAAATATAACACAAGCTAACAGGCAAGGAGAGAGCTTTTCCCAAAAAGCCTTTCTACAGCTCACCAATGCAACAGTTAAGCTTTTCTAACAGCAACACATGGAGGTCCCTTAAAAGGGGGTTCCAATAATAAACACCAACATTCGAAAGCATCCATAACGAAACTTATTTTTAAAACCCTGAAAAACTCAGGATTATATTTAACAATTATCCTTGCAACACAGACAACTTTGCAGAATTTTCGTTTGAGCGAAGTTTTGGGTTCTAATATTTGATTTCTCTTTGGTTTTTGTGTTTGTACTTACATTTCGTTAGGTATTCTAAATTTGAAATATAACGAAACAAAACACAATACACAACGCATTAGATTTGTAATAATAATTCTCTATCGATTTGGGTCTTATGTCGCTATTGGTTATAATATCAATCAACAAGAATGCATATTTACAATGTCTGTACTGCAACAATTCTAGGATAATAACGAGGCGCATTTTATATATTATATATCTTATACTAAGCCTGATCACTTGTTCCATTAGAGTTACATTCACTTAATGTCTAACAGGAGGACTGCATTGCAAGCAGGGTACACAAGATACTATAATATTTTTGGGATAAAGCATTTTGGTTGTCGGGAAATAAACTTAATGGGTATTCCTCTTGGGGACGGGCACTTACCCATATCATCGATAATCGGAGCCATACGCAAAGTAACCCCAATCAACATGAGGCACATGAGCAGTAACAAACAGGCGGTGGCAATTATTGTCCAGCGGGCACGCTGGGATAGATCATGAGGATCGATTACCTAAAAGGATAGTAACGATTAGGATTTTATAATTTTTATACAATTTTTTTTGGGTATTACTAACCTTAACAACCTCAGTGTCCAAGTCCTGTACCAGAATTTTGGGTTTTTTGTGCCGATGTCGCTTTTTGTGGCGATGCCTGTGGATAACGTACAAATACATCAATAAACTGAGTCTTTAATTTAATAATCTATATTAAGTGGAACATCAAATGCTCTCAAAACTTAAATTGATTTTAAAGGTTAGTTCAAGGAAATTACTTGTTGGCTTTGGAAAGCATAAATTGATTAAGTGCTTGCAAGAGGAAATAAAGTTCCAGTAACTTTGGCATTGCTTCTAATGCTATTTAATGATTATTTCTAGCAGAAATTTTGCACATTAATCTGTTTAGCTTGTGTGTCTCAACATCCCCTCGCTCCTCCTCCTTTCAGCCACATATGTGGGCTCTACCTGCAACAGAAGCTTAAACATATTTGCTCTATTTCCGTTTGGGTTTTGCAAAACTTCCGCATTACAAAGCTGCCGCAATTTCCCCTACACCGCAGCCCCACCAACCGCCTTTCGCTACAAACAACATGGCTCGATTTTTGCAACGGAAGTTGCTCCTGGCTATGGGCGGAAAAAGGAGAGCAACGGCAGAACAGAAACAACATCAGACATCGGGCTGCTGACAGTCAATGCCATTGTGCCCACCCACCAACCCATCCACCACCCACTGAAGCACCCAAATCCCTTGCCCTTCCCTCCACAAAATAGTCGCACAAAGCTTGTCAATCAATTTTTGTCTGCTCAACGTCACGCGAAGCTCCCAAGGGAAAAGCGGGCGGGCAGTGGCGAAAAAAGGAGGGCAACGCATTAGGGCATATTTGGCAATCACAATCGCCGTCGCACCGCCAATCGGCAGGACATTTATTAGTGCAGCCCAAGGACATGGCCAGTCCTTTGTTACTGCACCTGTCCAGAGTGTCCTAGCTGTCCATCTGAGCCACCATTCATCTATCAGCTGGCCCCCCAAAATGCGCTATTATTTATGTGCCCTCCGATCATTTCTCAACTCAAGCCGATTTTCGACCGGCCAACATCAAGGCCAATGTGTCTTGCCGGCTGAAAGGATTTTGGGGGCCTAGCCAGGGGGAGCTGGGGAGTCCGATGACCACTCACCGATGCTTTCGGCGATGCCGCTGATGACCACTGGGGACCATCTGCTCAAGGTCGTCGATTTTATCGGCATCCAGGTCCAGGTCCAAGTCCATGTCCATGTCCAGCTGCAGGTCGCAGGGCGAGTCCTCACCGTACGGGCATTGTCTGCGGATAATAAATCACATTAGCATTGATACTTGAACGAGCTATTAATATGGCTTTTATTATTATTTAAAAACAGAAGGATGGTTTAGATTCCTTCCTGATTTAGAAGTTAATTTTAACAAAGGTTTTAATAAACTACCTTCTAAAACCCTCTATTATACTTTAAAATTTACGTTGTATAAAAATAAATGGTTGTCATATCTAAGGACGTTGTATTAAATCTTTGATTTCATTAAATTAATTGAAGCAAAACACCTTTTAAAGAGGTAAAAAAAGTTACGATTATACCTTTAACCCACAAAATGTTTTTGTGACGAAAAATATACAATACAATATACAATTTTCTTATTTGTCCTTTTTCAGTAAACTCCTTAAAAATAATTTTTAAAAACAGGTAAATTTCGAAAAATAAAGCTGGGAAAATCCATATATTGAGCCGAAACACTTATTGACAATGTAAAAAAACATAAAAAAAATGTTATTATATTATTTTATGACGAAAAATGATTATACATTTAGATTTATTACCATGCTTAAAACTATTATTGTTTAAAAAAAAATTATATAATCTTTAGCTTATTAACTTAAAAAATTAAATTGTAATTGACTCTATCTTCAACATCAACTTGTATTTTTAATATTTAGTTTTTAATATCTTAGTTTGATGTTGTGTTGTGTTGTGTTTGATATTTAAGACCTCTTTTAATACATTTTTTTTAACCACTTTGGTTTCTAATATTTAAGATCTCAACTTAGAACTCAACCTCAAAACAGGAGCTCTATAATTTAGCGGCTTTTCATTCCTCCAATGAGACTTACATGGGCTTCTGTGTGTCCGGATTGATGCCGAGCACGTGCACATAGTGCTGGAGACCGTTGGGCGTGGGATAGACCAATGCGGGGTCCGAGCAGCGATGATGTCGCTCTGTGGCAGAAGAGGGAAGAAGATTTACTGAATGATTGAGGAATCCTGCACACAAAAAAATTTGCTTGGTAAAATTGACCAACAAAGATAGTTACGTAACTATTAAAATAGTTACGTGTATTTTGTTTTTGCTTTGGGTTTGTGTCTTTGCTAATTGTATGTATTTTGTTGTTTTGAAATGACTATTTACTTAGTAGAATTGACAATTTTGCTGGTTGGGGCCTGTTTGACAATTATTACAGTTGATTTTACCAAGTTTTTTTTTTGTGTGTGGACATCGGCTCACTGTCACTTACTGTACTTCCGCTTCCGACGGCGATACTCATCGTCGCTGCCCGTGCTCTGGGCCGCTGCCATTGCTGCGGAGGAGGAGGGCATTGCGGAGGGCCTGAAGGCTTCACTCGGCTTCTCCTTCGGCTTCGTTGCACTGCAGCAGCCGGTGGCGGCCACACTGGAGCCCGTCGACGTTGAGGTCATCCGGTGCAGCTTCTCGGGCACCAGTGTCCCCGTCCTGGCCCTCTGCTCACTCCCCTCCTCCATGGCAATCACCACGGCACTGGGTTCCACTCCATATGGCTGACGCACAGCCAACAGTCCGGTGCTTCGGGACTTGCGGCGCTCCTGAATCCTGCTGCCCGTTGCCGGGGGCGTATTTGCATAGCTGGGCGTGGCATGCAGCGACTGGGAGTCGCTTTGGGCCAATACCGTGCTCACCGTTACATTGGCGCTATCCTCCGAGGTGTTCTGGCGGGAGAAGTACCGGGTGTAGGCCTCCGCTCCGCCCACTCTAAAATCACCAGCCGCCCCACTTTCCGTGCAGGATATCTGCTTGGGCAGCAGTCGCCTTCGCTGGGGCAGCGGAGCGGGCAGCGTCTCAATCTCCAAGGCCACGTGAGGTTGCAACTGCTGCTGTTGCTGCTGCTGCTGCAACTGCAACTGCGGCTGAGGCTTGGCCAAACTGGAGGGAACATTGATGTGCAGGCGCTGGAAAAACAACATTAAATAGGGTCTCTTCTAACACATTTGCAACATCCCCGAACAACCTGCTTTACAAAAAATAGTTAAGCTTTTACGTTGGGCTCCATTTTTATTGTATTGATTTAAAGTAAATATCGAAATGTAAACAAAGATAACCTTTCAAAATCTTTAACTGAAATAATGTTGAGTAAGCGTACTAGAAATTGCAATTGGCTTTAGAAATATTGCCCTTATAAATCAAGTTTTACACCAAATCTTTAAACCTCTAAAATCTAAGCGCGAGCTACTTTTCAAAATTATTGGAGTTTTAATGAAATAAATCTGCAGGGGGTCTTTAGTCTTTAGACTCATTTCCCTATTTACTTTATAATTTAGGTTATTTTTACAGCAGAACTCACCCCTTGTTGAGGCGACTGCAGCGGAAACGAGCGTACCACGTGCCTGGGGAAGATGGGGCTGCACTGGGCGCTGATGGACTTGGCCTCCAGGATCCTCAGTCTCTTGGCCAGTCGCACCCGCTCCCTGGACTCCGCCTCCGTGCCGGAGGCGACCATCACCTCGGCTCCACCAAAGCTGACGGTGCAGCGGGAGCTGCTGTACGAGAGGCTTTCGAGGCTTCCACGAAGCGAGGCGGTCAGGCTGTCGTCCGCCAGCGTGGAGCTGTGGAGGACTCCTCCGCCCGAGGCGCCTCCACCGGTGGCGGTCACTGTGGCAGTTGCTGTGGCAGTCGTCGAGGTATTGTCGTGTCCGGAGATCGGGGGCAGTAGTTCCGACTCGCCGTTGATCGTTGTGGAATGTTTGGCGGGCAGCTGGCTCTTTGATCTGACCACCACTGCCTCCCCGCCCTCCGAGCTGATGGATCTCCGCTCCGCATCCATTTCCCCCAGGTGGGCAGGCGTGTGGGTCTGGGCTCGAACCAATAGGCTGTGGCTGTGCCTATGCTGCCTCTGCTGGGCTCCCGAGGAGTTGCTCAGCGTGCTGGCCAGGCTGTCTTCCAAGTTCTCCGGCTGTCTGGGATGAGATCGCTGCAAACCGCTGGCCATCGAACCGGAGGCCTCCTCGATGTCATCCGTCCGGGCCTTGGCTTTTGTTTTGGCCTTCGTCCTGCCGCCACTAGTGGCTGGTGATGATTGCCGCTGCTGCACTGGGTGCTGTTCCTCCGGTGGCGGCGGGGTGTCCTCCCTGCTGGAACGGCGACTGCCGCTGCCGCCAAAGAGTTTTCGGGGGAGAAAAATGCGACCAATGGACTTTCGCTTGCGACGCTTCGCCTTCTTGTGCTCCTCGTAGTCCCGCTTGAGGGCCTGCATCTTGTGCTCCACCAGGGTGCTGAAGACGGCCTCGTAGGTGAGGGCGCGTTGGAGATCGAGCAGGACATCGTTGGTGGAGACGGCCTTGTCCAGTTTGGTCAGCAGCTGTAGGGACTCGGCGCCACTTCCACTGCCACCACTGCCACTCTTGCTATCGTCCGCATCCGCCATGTTGGCCTAGTTGGATGCTGGGTGGCTCCCTCGTTGGCGCAGTGGGCGGCTCAGGCTGAGGCTCAGGCTCTGGTGGTTGGAGGCGGTTGTTGCTGCTTTTGCTGCTGTTCCTAGCGCCTATTTGCATTCTACTCGACGCGTTGACACGTTGATCGGTTTGTTTTGTCCTCGGGGCTCTGGTGGTGGTGGTGAATCTTCGGCTCCTCCTGCTGTTGCCCTGCCCGTCATCTGGGTGGCAACGTCTTTGGATGCGTCAGTGTCATCGCCGCCGCCCCCTGCTTACCTCGTTCGTCCTTCTCGCCTCCCCCAATTGTCTTTTCAATGGATTCTCCTTTGTGTGTCACGATGGCATCAAGTGGCGCTTAAAGGCGACGGCTGCACCTGCAACAACAAGAGCAACCAGAACATTAGACCGACTCACCCACTCGATTCAATAGACAATCATCGCCCAATATCCTGCCCGCTTTTCCCGCCCAATTCAAGGACTCACAAAAGATGGTGCAGTCAGTCAGGACGGCGGTGGAAAAGGGGGGAGGCAGCTTTCAGCCAGCTTGCCAATAGTTTTGCTCACTTTTCTGGCTCGGATTCGCGTCTGCCTCCATTATGCATGAGTGTAGCAGATTTCAACTTGTTGCACGCACCACACCCGCCCCCACAAATATACACACTCATGCGAACAGGACCCCAATACACATACACGCAAGGGACGGCATTCATGGCATGCGAGCAGCACTCAATGTCGAGTGGTCAGTGATGACCCACATTCCGTGGCCTTTTTCTGCCCAGAGTGGGGAATGCGAAAATATGGGAATTTTTGTGGAATTTATTTCAACTATGAACCTATATCCTTTATTTATTATTATGCGAAAATTAGTATTGAAAATAATTTATTGCAAAACATTTGTCTTCTTTAACTATTATTGAAATTTACGTATAATTTACAAAAGCTACATATTTTTATTGGAATGAAATTTCTCTCTTGCTTATTTAGCTTAGTGAGACGTTTGACTATAGCATATTATTTAGTTCATACATAGGACATATTGATCTTTGGCAAGACACCAAAGTTCAACACAAATTTCAGCTTAAGTATTCAAGCTTCCTAAAAATGTTTAAGTAAAAGAAAAAGAAAAAGAAAAAGAAAAAGAAAAAGAAAAAGAAAGAAAAAAGAAATCGTAAATATTGTTTTTTATAGCCTTAAGTATCATTAAAATAAACCTATTAAATACAAATAGAGTCCCGGGTTTTTATCTGTATTGCGCTTTATTTTATATCCCAAATAATCTTTCCGGGCATCGCTCTACATTTCTCCGCTTTATTTCCGCTCTAAGTGAAATCCGAAGCCAAGCGGACATCACTGAGACAGGACAAGTGAATCGAGACCATCGGGCTATGACAGGTAAGTGGGAGTGCGAGTAACTGTTAAAGCCAGGCTCTCAGTTGCCGTGTGAAATGTGAGTATATATATATATAGGGGAGCTGTGGGGCCTAGGCCCGTGGGAAAATGGCAGCGACAGGACTCCCTTATGGCCTCCAATGCGCTTTTTACGGCCCCTCATTCCATATGTATGTATATGTATGCATATAGACCGAATAAAAACCCACAATGGAAATGGATATTGTTTTCATTTCCGCAGTGCATAGTCGCTATTGCAATCTCAGTCGCATGCTCGTGAATGTCGACGCCAGCTGTGATGCAAATGGCACACAAAAGGGTCGCCACAATAGGCGCCATCAACAGCAGCAGCAGCCCCATCATCTAAAAAATGATTAAATGCAAAGTAGAAGAAAATAATGCACAACAATGCTCGTACACAACATGCAAAAGGCGGAGCAGACCCTGAATCCTGCGTCCTGAGTCCTAGCACTACTAGCGTGACTTTGGAAAACGTGAGGCAATCGCTAATTAAACGATATGGTTGGGTAATAGAAAAAGTTGAAGCCGCCAGTTTGCATAAATTTCAGTTAACAGGATCAAATACTTGGCCCCGATGCACACATTGGCACACTGAAAAAATATTTGAAAAAAATGTATTCTGTGGTATAAATCGCCTTTCTCTGCGATTCTCAATGTTAAAGGTAAGTAGCATTGAAACATTTTTTATCTGACAAGATACACTTATTCCTGGGTTACTGCTCTACCTTCTGACATACAATGTGTATCTTTATTTTAATTCTGTTGCAAGCCAATTTTGTAAAAGAAATCGCCCTTCTCTGCGATTCTCACTATCGAAGGTAAGTAATTTTAAAACATATTTTATTTAATAAGGTAAGCCCACGGCATTCAAGGGTGTCGTGGAAACTTAAACCACAAAAAAAAAAAATAATAAGGTAAGCATACAAGTTGATAACAATTCTACATTCTGACATACTTTGTATATCCATATTAACTTCTGTTTGAAATTGTTTCAAGTTCTCCCCATCATTTCATACACCCCACAAGCAAAAGGGACCATTGGACAAAAGTTAACCTGCGACCTCAACTTGTGTCAATAACCTGTAAGGCGAAAATGAACAGAAATCGAATTACCTCAACTGGCTACTGGAAAACCAAAGCAAGTCACACACAGATATACTTGCTCACCTTGATCCCTTTGGGATTTGCCTGAAAATTGGCTTAAAGCCATTCACTGACCACAGAACAATTTCAATGAATCCAATTCTCAAAGAGAGAACGACAACAATAACAATTTTTGTGAGTGCACACAGCCTAAGCGTCTTATCTCTGGCCCAAACACAATATCCAACCAGCCAGGCGTGCAAACAATCTAGGCAAATGAAAGAGAGGGACGGATGGAGTGCCGGGGAAGGGTAGAGAGGGGAAATATAGGGAGGCGGCATCGCAAACACACACGCATAAATCCAAACAAAGACCACATGCCTTATGGCCAGGGCCATTGCTACTACCACTGCCACTGCTACCTCCGCCGTCTCAGGCGGTACAAAAATAAATCATCCGAGGACATAAAACGAAGCCAGGCAAAAATTATAACTGTTGCTGCCACTGCCGCAAAAGTAAATAACAGTTAACAGCGGCAACATCTGTTGTGGGCTTCGCGGCAGAGGAAAATTCAACAGTTGTGCAGAAGCAGAGGAAAAGGGCCTGCTTAGGGAGAGAGTAATTTCTCCGCTTTCTCTCTGCGCAGCTGCCGAAACTGTTGGCCCAGCATATTAACGTTTTAGCCCTCTGTTAACAACTCCTGCTTGTTGCTGCTGCCGCTGCCGTTTCAAGGAACGCTTCTACTCCCGACGATCACCCTTGCGGCTGTGTGTTTATAATGGGACATCTGAACTTTTTAGCCAAGTAGTTGACAGTTTTTTTTCCATTAGATTTATGCGATTGTATTCGGTAGTTTGTGCTCGCCGGGCAGGATAACTTTCAGGGCTGCCGAGTTTGGTGTCAATGACAAGAACCGAACAAATGCCTAATTGGCGACATATAGTACATCGCCTGGTTGTGAGTGGTTTTCAGTTTGCGTTGAATGGGTTTATTTAATGACGGATTTCGAAAACTGACTGCCCGGGGAAAGTTGAGAAAGATTAACTTAATTTAGTGTTGGAATAAAGTGCTATGCTGTATGGTTTTTGTGGCCTAACTGGATAAAAACAAAGCTTAAAAGTTAATTCTTGTTGGTTTTAAATGAGTTTATTTGATGAATAGTTATAAAGAGATAATCGGTGTTATTGATATCGAATAAAAGGTTTTTGTTTCATTTAGCGTATAAACTATAGTTAAACCTTTAACTTTTAATTATAAGTTATCAACTTGTAGCGTTAGGAAAACATTTTAATATAAATTGAATTGAATTGAAACTTTTAACAGTAGTTCTTAAATACAATACCAATTTTAAGTAATTTGCTTATTAGGCTGAATCGAAAAACATTTGTCATTAAGCCAACTAACAATACGAGCGAATTACCATTGTTGGCTAAACCATTTCAAGGTTTTCCATAAAATGATAAGTAAAAGCATTTGCAATATTATTTCTATGCGTGGCAATGATCCACTTTAATTCTATACAATTCAGACACTCCGATAAAATGGCAAAAATGAATCTAGATTTCGCACGTTTCCGTGTCGTATACGTGATAATCAAGGGCACTTCGCATATTCCACATTGGCCAACACCAACGGCCAACGGATGGCCCCAATTTCCACGCCCACCAGCTGGCGCATAAATACGTAATTGTTAATAATTTCGCAGCAAAATTACCCTCGCTCAAATCCAGAACGGAATAGCAAATGCAAATGGCCGGAGTTGCAGCCGGATGGAGAGTGCGAAGACCAAAAGGCGGAGCTGGCGAATACTTAAATTTAATCAACTTTCTGCTGCCCGATGGTATATGTATGTACTTATATCTGGGATACTGGATACCACCGCCGATACCCAAAACTCTCGGCCTGGGGCGTTCAATTATTGACGCCCCCTTTTCGCTGTTGTCCTTCGCACATTTTTCGGTTTCGCCAACCGATGCAGCCCAAACATAACAAAACACACAAAACGAAAAAAAGCTGTTTGGCAAATAAAACATGCACATGGCTTAAAACACATGACACCGAAACGAGAGACGTTGGACAAACCAAAAACCAAAAAAAAAAACGAAGAAAAAAGGACACGAAAATAAAGCTAAAAACAGCGGCCTTCCCTCCCCTTTCCATCTCAGTTTTCACTGGCACGACCTTTGAAATTAGAGTTCTGAGATGTGTACGTAAAGTTGGTGTGTCCGTGTGAGTGTGTGTGTGTTTGTGTGTGAGGACAAGAACAACACACATTCAAATGAGTCCTTGGCCGCAACGAGCTGCAGCAAAAAGGACCCTCCGCCCCCTTGCATCAAGTGCAACTGCCATGGCCCAGCAGCCATCAGCGTGTCAGATAATTAGTGAAAACTGTCTGTGAAGAAACGTCCGTCTGTCGCCAGGTCCAAGGGACCAAACGTGTATATTCAGAGGCACATCCACGTCTACAGATGCAGCTACAGATACAGATCTACATCCCTGTCCACGTGCATGTCCCTGGCAATGGCAACAGCTGAAATTCTGAACATCTGAACATGAACGCCTGTGTAAGCCGAGGCCCAGTACCATGGGTGATGAGGTTCTTTTTCGCTGTTTAAACTTTCAATTTCGTTGTGCTTCCTATGTTCTCGAATCAGGCATTATTTTTTAAAATGGAAATGGCAAATCAAAGAAATCGAAAGTAGAAGTTTCTGGAAAAACCATAAATACCGTACCATAAAATGTTATAAATTTGGTTTTTAGATGTTCGTCTTTTTTAAATGCCGGGATCAAATCGACGTGCTCATTGCTAATTTCTGGTATTTATTCGCATATCGCTCTTACCATGCAATACTGGTAAAATTGATATTAGATAATGTCATAT